AAAAAAAAAAAAAAAGCTGACTTATGAGAGCTGTCACTTTGGTGGGAAAGACAAGAGGAAGTTTAGAACAGAGTATTACTAAGATGTCTAATACCTATGCTTTGTATCTTTTTGTCTTATTTTTGCAGATTTATCAGCAAGACTGTTGAACACATAACTGCCCAAGATGCCCGTCCCGCCCCCTCCAGCGCCTCCACCGCCCCCGACACTTGCACTGGTGAGTACTGCCTCCCCATTCATTTTCTATGTGTAAAGCAAGTCAAATGAAGTCAAAACCTGGCACACAAGTATTTGTTTGAAATGTGTTTACATCTACCTCACATGTGATAGGCAGGCTTTCCTCATGCCCAAAGTGAGCCAAACCTTGAGCCCCAGTGATACAAACAACTGAAAGGTTGTTTAGGGTCTCATGGGATGCATAATACAAGTGTGGAATGTGGATCATTAGGTTTCCTCTGCCACATCCAATGGGAGGACTCACAGGAGTAGGTCTAGAACCAGAATGCACTGCTTCCACTCAGATGAACTCAATGTCTGTTCTTTAACTTCTAGGCAGGACAATCCAGAAACCCAGGTCCTGTCTGTCTGCAATGCAGCCATTAAAGTGTCTTCCAGTCTCGCTGTTTTCTTTTTCTCCGCCTTCTCCCCTCTTCTTCCCATTCTCTCTTTTGACAATTATTAAACCCCTACCCCCACCTATCCCATACATATTCACGGTCTCCCTTAATTCTATCCTGGCACTGAGATGTCTACTTTCCAAAATAATTTCTTCACTGGATTCGTCCTGGTCCTTTGATAGACCTATCTGGGGAAGTCAGTGCGCCTCTTCCAGGAAGTCGACAGCCCTCTACGTGGTCATAGGGAAAGGCTCCAAGACCCATTCCTCTACAAAGGCCTCTCCAGCTTTTGAAGGCTTCACTGCTAAAGAGCTGTGGTTCTTCATTTGTCACATGGGGAAACTGAGGCTCAGAAAGGAAAAATCTCTTGCCCCAGGTTTCCAAAGAACACATTTGTCTAACTTATCTGAGGTTGAAATCTAGTGGGAAGAACTAACCATTAAATAGTTCACTGCACTCAAAGTGTGGTTGTCCAGCTGCTCTTTGGAGTCCCCAAGGAGATAAGGACAGAAATCTCTGTAAGCATTTAGGAACACTCACAGCAATGCAACAGTAATTTTATATCTGAGATTGAATTTTGCATTTTTGAATTCATTTTTCTAATAATTCATTGTTATTTTACAAAAGTCCATGATACAAAGATTTTTTTAAAAACCTGGCACTTCACGTGTATAAATTTAAGAAGCTTTAATCTGGCTAACATAGCAGGACTGTTTTATCTATATTCCCCATAAGTGTGGGTTGTATACCACTTCTGGGTAATACATGGATTAATTTTTAGAAATTTTAATGCTCATTTATTTATTTTAATGTGTGTTCTAAACATTTTAACTATCACATTAAACTCAGGACTTAATAGGGATTGAATTTAAATGACAGAATTTTTTTTTTTTTTTTTTTGAGTTGGAGTCTCGCTCTGTCGCCCAGGCTTGAGTGCAGGGCACGCTCATGACCGCCACAGCCTCAACCTGCTGGGCTCTGGTGATCCTTCTGCCTCAGCCTTCCAAGTAGCTGGAACCACAGGCATGAGTCACCATGCCCAGCTAATTTTTCATGATTTATTGTGGAGATGAGGTCTCACCAAGTTGCCCAGGCTGCCTCCCAAAATGCTGGGATTATAGGCATAAGCCACCATGCCTGGCTGAGAGAATTTTTTTTTAAAGAAAATGTTCATTGAAAAATAGGGTAATAAATAATACAGAGAATAGTGAATTGTCTTAATGAAAAATATTAAATAAATAACATAGGTGGTTATGAGAAAGATGACAAAGATCATGAACATTGTAACAGAATGATTAAAGTTTGGATGAACCCTTATTTGTCTTTTTTTTTTTTTTTGAGTCAGAGTCTCACTCTGTCCCCCAGGGTGTAGTGCAGTGACATGATCACAGCTCACTGCAGCCTCTGCCTCCTAGGCTCAGTTGATCCTTCCATCTCAGCCTCTCAAGTACCTGTATCTACAGGCATATGCCATCATGCCCAGCTAACTATTTGATTTTTTTGTAGAGATGAGGTCTCCCCATGTTGCTTAGGCTGGCCTCAAACTCATAGTCTTAAGCAGTTCTCCTACCTCTGCCTCCCAAAGTGCTGGGATTATAGGCACCACGCCCGGTTGAGAGAATTTGTTTTTAAAGAAAATGTTCATTGAAAAATAGAGTAGTGGCCAGGCTTGGTGGCTCAGCCTGTAATCCCAGTGCTTTGGGAGGCCGAGGTGAGTGGATTGCCTAAGTCCGTGGGTTTGAGGCCCGCCCGGGCAACTTGGCGAGACCTCATCTCTACAATAAATCAAAAATTAGCTGGACGTGGTAGCGCGCATCTGTAGTTTCAGCTACTTGGAAGGCTGAGGCGGAAGGATCGCCGGAGCCCAGCAGGTCGAGGCAGCGGTGGCCAGCAGCTGCCACTGCACTCCAGTCTGGGCGACAGAGTGAGACTCCAACTCAAAAAAAAAAAAAAAGAAAGAAAAGAAAAATAGGGTAGTAAATACTATAGAGAATAGTGAATTGACTTAATGAAAAATATTAATAAATAACACAGGTGGTTATGAGAAAGATGACAAAGATCATGAACATTGTAATAGAGTGACTGAAGTTTGAATGAACTCTTTTTTTTTTTGGTGGCCATCATAGAACACTGTCCTAGTGGAACAAGGCAGTGGACACAAAGTCCCTGGACACAAGAGACGTTAGCACCCAAGGAGGTCAGGTGTCAAAATAAATTTTGAGGCAGAACAGGCGGTCACTGAAGGTTGCTGTCTCAAAACCATTAAGAGATCCAGTGTGGACACATCACTTAACCTCTCCAGGCCTCAGGGTTTTTTATTTTTATTTTTTATCCTTAAAAGGAAAACAACAGATTATTTTAAAAGCTCTTTCCGAGATGCCCAAAGTATGTTAAGTTGAAAAAACAAGTATCGGTGCAATAGAGGATAATCCCATTAGGAAAAGCAAATTCTGTATGCAAAGAGCATTTCTGGAAGGACAGCCTGGAAGTTTTTAAGGCTTGCTTTAGGGGTATGTTGAGGCTGATGGGGGAGGGGCATTGGAGAGCTCACATGTATCCTTCTGTCAGGTTACAGAGAAGGCTCTGAACTGATACTGCCAGAATTTGAATCCCAGCTCCTCTCTACTAACTAGGTGACTAGGGTAAATGATTCAACTTCCCCATACCTCAGTTTCCTTGTCTGTAAAATGGGAATATTAACCCACAGGCTTGATAAGAACCAAATGAAATAATACATATCAAGTGCTGAAAACAGTACTGGCCCAGAGTAAAAATTAAATAAATGTTAACTGTACCTGGCCCAGAGTAAAAATTAAATAAATGTTAACTGTACCTGGCCCAGAGTAAAAATTAAATTAATGTTAACTGCTATTATTATAAACAAGTGATACTTTATAATTTAATTATTTCAAGACGTTTCCAACTTATATAGTGATTCTGTTTAGCCTTCTTCATGGTTTTTCTGTGCTCTCCTTCGGCCTCTAACTCTGATAATAAAAGGCTGGGTGATGCCGGGAACAGGAGCATGCACCTGTAGTCTCAGCTGCTGGAGAGGATGAGGTGAGAGGATCATTTGAGCCCAGGAGTTTAAGGTCGTAGTGTGCTATAATTGTACCTATGAATAGCCACTGCTCTCCAGCCTGGACAACATAGTGAGACCCCCACCTCTAAAAATTACTTTTTTAAAAAAGGCTGGGTGAACTATCAAACCATACATTTCCCCAGCTACCTCCTGTGGCCCTAACTAGCCCCTTTAAAAGGGTTGAGACCAGCCTAGGAAGACTCTTGGGGTCTGCTGGAAGGACCTGTGGGTTTGGGGCAGCCAGATTCTCCCTGGGACCAACCAAGACCAAGTTAGTTTCCAAGTGTGACAGACACAGGCAGATTCCTACTTCCAAGTTCATATGCTGGTCTCTCAGTGTCCCCACTCCCCATAGTAACCCTGAAGGAACAAGGCACCAATTTTATAACAAGGATCTTGCCCAGGAATTCTGGTAGTATAAGAAAATACCTAAACATGTTAAAGCAGCACCTTTGTCCATTCCTCAATTTCTTTCTTTCTTTCTTTTTTTTTTTTTTTGAGTAGGAGTCTCACTCTGTCACCCAGGTTGAAGTGCAGTGGCATGCTCACGGCCACCGCAGCCTTGACCTGCTGGGCTCAGGCAGTCCTTCTACCTCAGCCATTCAAGTAGCTGGGACTATAGTCATGCACCACCATGCCCGGCTAATTTTTTGATTTAGTGTAGAGATGAGGTCTCGCCAAGTTGCCTCGGCTGGTCTCAAACCTGTGTGCTCAGGCAATCCTCTCACCACGGCCTCCCAAAGTGCTGGGATTATAGGCATGAGCCACCATGCCTGGCCAGCATGTTTCTTTTGTTTTTTGTTTTGAGTCAAAGTCTCACTCTGTCGCCCAGATTGGAGTGCAGTGACAGGTGCATGGCCACCGCAGCCTCAACCTGCTGGGCTCAGTTGATCCTTCCCCGCAGCCTTCCAAGTAGCTGGAACTACAGGCATGCACCACAAGGCCCAGCTAATTTTTTTATTTATTGTAGAGATGAGGTCTTGCCAAGTCGCCTGGGCTGGTCTTGAACCCATGGGCTCAGGTAATCCTCTCACTTGGGCCTCCCAAAATGCTGGGATTATAGGCGTGAGCCACCACACCTGGCCCCTCAATTTCTGTGAGCTAAACTTTCAAGGGGATTAAACATCAAAAACACCTTAGACCCATGGGACGTGGAGGAACTTTTGGAGTAATGAAATGTTTTATATCTTGACTGTGGTGGTGGTTACACAGCTGTGTATGCTTGTCAAAACTCATAGAACTGCAAATGAAAAGGATGATTTTACTATTTGCAAACTGTGCCTCAGTGCATTTGCCTTACAAAGAAAAAAAGCAACTTTGGCAGTCTAGTCAGAGGGAATTATTTTTTAAAACTTTGGTGGGTTTAAAAAATATTTACTTACTGCTGACCATTTTTTTCTAGAACCTATTTTCCTCTGAAGATGGGAAAGGGAAGCTATCCTTCAAGGCACGTTCTGGAAAATAAAGTCAAATAGTGTCCTGTAGCATCCCTCCTTGTGTCTAGCTACCTAACCCTAACCTGACCCTGTTGATGACAGTCAGATCGTGGTCTGAATTTTCAGAGGCTTTAATCAGGGACCGGCTCTTCCTGCCTTAACAATGAATGTAATTTATTGCCGCATCTGCTCCCAAATGTTTGGATCTTAAAAAGAATGATATGGGGTCTAAAAGTTGTAGAGAACTTACAGTCTATAACCAAGAACCTGAATAACAAGCTTCCAAAACCCGACTTGTCCCAGCTGAGTGCTAGAGTGCATGATTCTAATGCAAGAGATGAAAGATGAATGCGTATTTGTATGATTTGTTTTCAGGCCAATACAGAGAAGCCTACCCTGAATAAGACAGAGCAGGCTGGGAGAAATGCTCTCCTCTCTGATATCAACAAAGGGAAGAAACTAAAGAAGACGGTCACCAATGACAGAAGTGCACCGATATTGGACAGTAAGTGAAAAAAGCTACTTTCTATAGAGATAAATAGCTTATGCCCCCCCGACACACACACACTTTTTTGTTGTTGTTAACAACAGCTGCAAAGCTAGCAAAATAAGGGACTGTATCACTCACTGCAGGCCACGGCTTTGGCTTGTGTTCCCCTCTGATGCTACAGGAAGCCAGTATAATAATTCTTTGTCCAAGACATACACAGCAGCGATTCTCTGCATTATTCACCACACTTGCTGGAGATTAACCCATTGTTTCTGGCACCACAGAAATAGGAGATGGCATAAAATATGGAAAAAGCCCCAACCTTGGAATCAAAGGACATGGGTTCAAGTCCTGGCACATCCATCCCACACCATCTTCAACTTTATTGTCTTCATTTGTAAAGTGGAGACAAAAATGCCTGTTCTGCTGACCTCATAAGTTCATTGTCAGCTTCAAATGAGATAATGCCTGTAAAAGTGCTTTGTTGTCTGGAAAATATAATTCAAGTGTAAGATATGATTATTAGGAGCTCAGAGAGAGAAGACACTTTGCTTATCTATCCATCTAAGTCTAAGGTACTTTCTAGAGCACGGCTACTTATTAGCATGTACAACAGGACAAAAAATTAACCATGACTAGAATCTACTGGTAATTAATAATCAGGTCTCGAGACTGTCTCCTCACATTCCTCAACCTTTTCACTGCCTGCCAGATGTCCTCAAGATTCCTCTTAGACTCAAATCCCATTTGGACTCAGTAGGAAATAGACTGACCTTCCAGAAATCACCAGATGGAGCTTAGTAGACAAGTAAATCATGAGGCAGGATTTTAGCAAGGTGAAGGATTAGAAGTTCTTAGGGGGAATTACTGGGCGAAGTGCCTAATGGGTAGAGGAAGAGGAAGGACCAGCTTCAGGTGAGAAAACTAGTGCGGGAGAAAAATGGAAAAGAGAAAGACCAAGATAAGGCCACCAAACATTGCTGTGTTACCAGGCAAGGTGGTGCCAATGAGAATGCACTCTTCAAAACGGAACTGTGGGGTTTTTGACCCTTGACTTGACACAGTCTGACTCCTATGCCCACAAAACTGATGTGGTTAAAGTATGCCTGAGCCCGCGGGTTTGAGACTCGCCTGGGCAGGCAAGACTTCATCTCTACAATAAATCAAAAAATTAGCCGGGCGTGGTAGTGCGCGCCTGTAGTTCCAGCTACTTGGAAGGCTGAGATGGAAGGATCGCCGGAGCCCAGCAGGTCGAGGCTGCAGTGGCCGGGAGCGACCATTGCACTCCAGTCTGGGCGACAGAGACTCCAACTAAAAAAAAAAAAAAGAAGCCATTTTGCATATGCTTCTAGAAGTTTTTATTCTAATTTGATTTATCCTGTTGGGGGAAATAATTCATGTCAGTGCATATCAGATTATTTCTTCTATCAACAGAGCTCCTATAAGTATCCCAGAAACCTCTATAAGTAGAAAAGATACAGAGCTGACACAAACCTGTGATAAACCTAATCCAGAAAAAAAGAAAATACAAATAAATAGAATTAGAACTTAGAAAGCAGGTAAAATAAGAGATTCAGCCAGGCACAGTGACTCAAGCCTGTATTCCCAGCACTTTGGGAGGCAGAGGCAAGAGGATTGCCTGAGTCCAGGATTTTGAGACTAGCCTGGGCAACTCGGCAAGACCTCATCTTTACAATAGATTAGAAAAGTAGCTGGATGTGGTGGCATGTGTCTATAGTTCCAGCTACTTGGAAGGCTGAGGTGGAAGGATCGCCTGAGCCCAGCAGGTCAAAGCTGCAGTAGCCATGATCATGTCACTGTACTCCAACCTGGGCGACAGAGTGAAACTCCATCTCAAAATAAATAAATAAATAAGATTCAAAGGAGATTTTCTAAAATTAAGGATAGTATAATAAATTTATGTGCTAAAATCATAAATTACTTTTCTAAGAAAAGCATAAATGTATTAAAATTCACTCAAAAAGCCGCAAGGAAAAAGATGAAAACTTTATTAAATTACTTTTCCTCCAAAAAGCTTTGGAGCCAGATGATTGCATTAGTAAATTTTTCCAAATGTTGAGAACCAGCTAATTCAAAGGCTATATAAAATCATTCCCACACATAGGAAGAGATGGAAAGCTATTTGATAGGTATAATGAAACCGACGTGATCCTAATATCAAAACTTGACAAAGACAGCAGCACACACACACAAAAGAAAGTTATACATTAGTGGTTTTCAACTGAGAGTGGTTTTTTTTTTTTGGCCTCCCAGGGGACATCTGAAGACATTTTTAGTTGTCACAACTTCGGGGGGCGGGGGGGGGGGGTCGGAGAAGGGGAGGATTGCTACTGACATCTAGTGGGTAGAGGCCAGGGATGCAGTAAACATTCCACAAGGAACAGGATAACCACCCACAAGGAAGAATTACCTGACTCAAAATGTCAGTAGTTCCGCGATTAAGAAACCCTACCATAGACCACTTAACATCACAGATGAGAGAATACCAAGTAAAATACCCCTGAAAATCTAATTCAATAGTATGTTAAAAGAATAATTCATCAAGACCAGGGTTTAGCTTATTTTTAATGTCAGGAAGTCTTTCCATCATATCAAATAAGAAAGACTGCATAATCATTTCAGTAAATCTTGAATAGACATTTGATAAAATTTCATGCTATAAGAAAACCTTAAAAGCATAAAATGGAAGGATTCTTCCTGACTGAATATTTAGAAAGGGAAAAAGAAAACAATTTATTTCAAACTAATAGTTTGGCTGGGCATGGTGGCTCACACCTGTAATCTCAGTACTTTGGGAGGCAGAAGAGATTGCCTGGGCCACATGGTTAGACCTTGTCTCTACAATAAATCAAAAAATTAGCCAGGTGTGATGGCATGCACACCAGTTACTTGAAAGGTTGAGACAGAATGATCACCTGAACCCGGCAGATGGAGGCTGTACTGGCCGTGAGTGTGCCACTGCACTCCAGTCTGGGCGACAGAGTGAGACTCCAACTAAAAAAAAAAAAAAAAATCAAACCAATAGTTCATATTTAACTTTGAAACATTAGAGGCATTAAAGTCAGAACACGGTTGCCTTTAGCAGCATTAGCAATTTACATTGTTATGAAAGTTCAGCCATCAAGTAATTACTTATATAAAACAGAAATAAAATAAGATACATGGCTCTTAGAAGAGGAAAAACCTTTATTATTTGCAGACCATATGTCTACTAGAAAGTGCAAGACAATACATTTTTAGTAAAGTTTAATTTACAAAATACAGCAGAGTTGCTTATTTAACAACAAGCAAAATTTCCTGATGTCAATAATAACCAGTTGCAAAATATAACAGGAAAATCATTATTCATAATTTCAACAAAAAAATGTATTTGAAGTAATCCTATCAAGAAACATGTATAACATATATCATGAAAACTACAAAACTTTACCAAAAAAATAAAAAAAGGCATGAACTAATGGGAGAATATACCACCTCTCCAAATGTGATGGTGTCTAAATATCATAAAGGTGTCAGTTCTCCCAGATTAGTTTGTAGATTTCATATGATAGTTATCAAAGACCCAACATGGTTTATGGGAATGGGACTTTAAATAATGTTTAACCTCATAAATACAAACATGTTTACATGCATAAGTTGAGTTCATTTTTTTAAGAGAGTATAATCATGGCTCTCTTATAGCTATAAGATGAACATGTCAGGATTTTAATTTAATTCATTAACTAATGAACGAACCAGTAACCCCACATAGGCCAGGCACAGCGTTTCATGCCTGTAATCCCAGCACTTTGGGAGACCGAGTCAGGAGGATTGTTTGAGCTCAGAAGTTTGAGAACAGTGTGGGCAATGTAATGAAACCTCGTCTCTACAAAACAAAAACAAAAACAGAAAACCAAAAACCACATATATTGGCATATAATTGCTCAAATGAATTTATTATTAGGTGTGAAACAGGTCAGTAATCAATTGCATTTTGCTAAATACAAATAACTTCCAGTTTTGGGACAAATATCACTTATATTAGTATCAGTTTTCTACGCCTTACAGAGTTATAAAATACTGTAGCTCAAAGACAATGGGAAATAACCCAGAAGACTAGACAGGAGGATACTTAGTAATCTTTTCCTTTCTTCTTTTTTTTTTCCTTCATCAAAATCATTCACAATATTATTTTGCAAACAAATGAAAAATAAAAATCTTCAAACTCTCAAATTATTGTCAAGAATTCACAATTTTTTTTTTTTTTTTTTTTGAGTTGGAGTCTCACTCTGTCACCCAGGCTGGAATGCAGTGGCACTCTCACAGCCACCTGCTGGATTTGGGTGATCCTTCTACCCCAGCCTCCCAAGTAGCTGGAACTACAGGCGCATGCCATCACACCTGGCTAATTGTTGGATTTATTGTAGAGATGAGGTCTTGCCAAGTTGCCCAGGCTGGTCTCAAACCTGTGAGTCTCCCAAAGTGCTGAGATTATAGGCGTGAGCCACTGTGCTCAGCCCTAACAATTTTTAAATTACTAAAACCTACTGTTGTGTTTTTTGATATTAAAAATTTTAAATCAAGCTAAAATGCCATCAAATAAGTGACTGGTTAATTAGATCTTAATATTACATGTTCTATAATACAATACAATCCTTTAAACTCCTGTTTTCAAAGAATATTTAATGACATGGAAAATGCTAACAAAGTGTTCAATGAAAAATCAGGCTAAAAACTACTCAGTGAATTTGTTGTTAATTTCAAGAAAAAACATGTAATATGAAAAAGATACTACATAACTGGATGTTTGCAAGGAGTAAAATTATGAAATATTTTGTTTTCTTCTCTTTTTTGGTGATTTCTTTTCTTCTCATTATTGCATATCCTCCCTTGGAACCTTTTTTCTTTGAAGATCCTTTTATTTGTCAAATCTTAGGATATAGAACAAATAGCTATTAACCCACATGGCAGCCAGTCAAGTGGGGCATGTGGGGACAGATCATCCTCCATTACTGTTTCTTCCACCACTGGGCCTGGGAGTGCTCTAGAGTGGGAAGAAAACCCCTCTGGTTCTGGCTGGGGTTCAGGAACCCTTTACATCTGGAACATGGATGAAGAAATCTCAGTTGTCTACCAGAGGCTCAGGTTTAGCCAGCTCTCTGTTTTATTATTGTTTTATGGTTGATGTGTGCTAGGACTGGTGCAGTACTCTAATGGATGTTCTCTTCTTCTGCAGAACCTAAAGGAGCTGGCACTGGTGGCAGTGGTGGCTTTGGTGGGGGCAGTGGATTTGGCGGAGGAGGTGGCAGTGGTGGTGGTGGTGGCAGCAGCAGTGGAAGTTTTGGAGGGGGTGGACCTCCTGGTTTGGGAGGACTGTTCCAGTCTGGAATGCCGAAGCTGAGATCCACGGCCAACAGGGATAATGGTAAGGAGAGTGTCCCTCTCTCTGAGTAATTGAAGACAAGGCAGAGTTTGGCAGTTGGGAGCTTGGCATCGCCTCTAAGGCTCTGCGCCCTTTAAAATGCTTTATTGTTTGAAATGTCACCACTGTTTTATGAGACTCTATTTAGCTCTTAAAAAAAACAAAATCAGGATCAGGGCTCCATAGAACTATGAAATACCTGTCCAGTGCCCTTGGGGGTAACCTGTGCTTTTTAGTACTTTTCTAAAGGGTCACTAGAGTGGGAAGAAAAAGAAGGAGCAAATGGAACTTGCCACCCTGGAAATCTGCCCGGTGACCTGCCAGATGCAACTTTCTTTGTGAGGCAGTCTAGGCTGTCTAGTAAATACCCGTGAGCTGCTTTGGAGATATGCTATGAGGCACATCTTATGGAATATGGTTAAAAATCTCACTAAATCTGAAAATGTGTATGGTGTGACAGACGTTGGGTATTTCAGGGCCAGTGGTTCTAAGTAGTCTCTGCAGGGAGCCATGGCAATGAGTCCTGCAGGATTGTGTGAGAACCTGGTGGCAGAGAAAACTGAACTTGACCATGCCTAAACAGAAAGAAAAAAAAAAAAAACTTGGCAGAACACAAGAGGCTCTCTCCTGACTATTGCAAAAGCTCAAGAAAATTTTTTTGGTAATGTTTTTGGTAAAAGAAATTTTTTTCTAGTTCGGTGATCTCTTAAGATGTCCTCTGGGAAAGTGTGCAATTCTCACATTCATGTGAGGGTGGAATCCCTGAATCCTCAGGGTTAGCTGACTGTTTTAGTCCTGGATGGTTTTCCCCACAAGAATGTAAACTACAGCAATGCGGGGTCTTTCTATTTTGTTTCCTCTTCTGTCTCTAGAATCTAGAATAATAACTAGCTTGGAGCAGGTGTTCAATATTCTACCAATACTGTCTTCTTCTTGTCCTCTCATAATGATTAGGAATTTCTCCTGAACTCTTAGCAGTTTCATCCTAGTTCTTGTCCACATATGATGCTAAGAGATCTCTCCAGAATCCTTTGGAAAGGTGAGGGGCTATAGAACCTGAGACTAGGAGGTAGAGAGCTGCGGTCTATTGCTCTGCCTCCAGTAAGGACCACACAAAACTCAATTTGTATCAACAATAGTTTTTGTGTGTGTGTGTGTGTGTGTGTGTGTGTGTGTGTGTGTGTGTGTGTGTGTGTGTGTGTGTGTCAGGGTCTTACTCTGTCACCCAAGCTGGAGCGCAGTGGCACAATTATGACTTACGTCAGCTTTGACCTCCTGAGATCAGATGATCCTCTCACCTCCACCTCCCGAGTAACTGGGACTACTGGCATGTACCACTACACCTGGCTAATTTTTTAATTTTTTTGTGGAGACGCGGTCTTGCTATGTTGCCCAGGCTGCTCTCGAACTCCTGGGCTCAAACAATCCTCCTGCCACGGCTTCTCAAGGTGCTGGGGTTATAGGCATGAGCTGCCGCATCTGGCCTTGTTATCTATGTTTTATAGCACCCTAAGGAAAGGACACCCAGTAGCTGGGAAGTACTCTGGCTCTCTGATTTCTTTAGGGCTCCTAATCTTCTAACTGAATGTTTGCTTTTTTATTCTTCAGATTCTGGAGGAAGCCGACCACCAATTTTGCCCCCAGGAGGAAGAGCCACATCTGCCAAACCCTTTTCACCCCCAAGCTGCCCAGGGAGGTTTCCTGTGCCTTCTCCAGGCCACAGAAGCGGCCCCCCAGAGCCTCAGAGGAATCGAATGCCTCCGCCAAGACCCGACGTGGGCGCAAAGCCCGAGAGCATTCCCCCTCCAGTACCCAGTACTCCGAGACCCATTCAATCAAGTCTGCACAACCGGGGGTCCCCACCTGTGCCTGGGACCCCCAGGCAGCCCAGTCCCGGGCCCACTCCTCCCCCTTACCTTGGAAACCGAGGCACTGCTTTTGGAGGAGGCTCCATCCGTCAGACCCCTCCGGGCTCCTCCTCGCCCTTCTCCAACAGGCCTCCCCTGCCTCCGACCCCAAGCAGGGCCCTGGATGACAAGCCCCCTCCCCCACCTCCTCCGGTGGGCAACAGGCCCTCCATCCACAGGGAAGTGGTGCCACACCCTCCTCCTCAGAACAACAAGCCTCCAGTGCCTTCCACTCCGCGGCCTTCTTCCTCCTCGCAGGCCCCACCTCCTCCTCCACCACCCAGCAGACCCGGGCCTCCTCCCCTGCCTCCAGGCTCCAGCGGCGGTGACGAAATCCCCAGGCTCCCACAGCGGAATCTGTCCCTCACTTCGTCAGCACCTCCCTTGCCTTCACCAGGACGCTCAGGTCCTCTTCCTCCCCCACCCAGCGAGAGACCCCCTCCTCCAGTGAGGGACCCACCAGGCCGATCAGGTATGACAAGTCCTGGAGTGAGTTGTCACCCTCCGACCCAGCCTGCCCAGGTGTCACTCATAATCCTGTCAGTGAAGTCAAACAAAAGCATAAGTAAACTGGACGGCTTTGTGCTTCTAAGTGACACCTGATGTGTATGATTTCATCGTGGCCTCATGTAAACCTCTGAGGAAACCAGGACTAAGATTTCAATTTGTGTTTGAGAAATGAGGAGACCGAGTGACTAAGTTAAATGTCCACAAGCTAGTCAATAAAGAAGAGGCTAGAACTTTATAATCGTCTTTCATCTCTGAGAGTGCTCACTACTCTACTACCCTGCCTCCCTTAAGTGATTCCAGCTCTCGTAATTGGGGGAACAAATTCCCAGCTCCTGCAGGGAGGCTCCCTTATTTTAATGAGAGGGGCAGTTGTGTAAGAGCTAATGAATCTCTCCAATACTTCTCTCTTCCTTTCTCAAGCTTTGAAGCCACATCCTTGCTCATTAAAGACAAACGTTAGAAAGTCCATTTTGCTCTTTGTTAACATCTCTGCTATGTAAACCCCTTGGAGAGTCAAATAAAGGTATGAACTTTATAAAAATGCTCATAAGCATATACTCCACATTTGCATGGAGGGCCAGCTGAAGCCCATCTGCGATGCACTACATTTGGCAGATGTGGATCTTCCTCTCAGCCCCACAGTCCAGGGTTGAGAAACCTTGATGGTGAAGGAAGAACTTTCAGAGTATGAAGTCAAATTGCCTAGAGTTTGCACTCTCTCCTAATTGTAATAGGCATTTTAGTAGAATATACTCCTTTGACTTGTCTTACAGTAGTTATTGATGCACTCGGTAGAACCATCTAACTTTTTCAATTTAATCTCATCATATATACTTCATTATGTCTAGAATCGGGGCATTTTTTTTTCTTTAGCAGAAGTTAACTGACCCTGTGATGACTTCAGGAACCTAATAAACATCATTCTTTAAACTTGATCACATACTGGAATCACTTAGGGAGCTTTAAAAACCATAAATGCCTGGGTCCCTTCCCAGAGTTTTTAGTATAAGCAGTTCGGGGTGCAGACTGGGTGTCAGGACGTTTGAACGTTCCCTCGTGACAACGGTGTATAGCAGAGTTTGAGAACCACTCCTTGAAGCAGCTGTGCCATGGCTCTTCCAGATGGATGAGTCAACAGATTAAATCTTCCCCCAAATATGATAGACATTGACATATAACACAAATTGTCTCTTTAGGTTACATAAGTCATAGCTGCTTATTAAAGAAATACCAAAAAAAGTAAAGAAAATTAAAACAATCTATAATCCTACCACCACCATCATCCAGAAGTAATCCTTAGTAATATTTTTGGTATATCCTTTCAGTCTTTTTAGAATGTACACATATACATTTTAACAAAATCAGCGTCACACTATATATATTGTTTGGTAATTTGCTTTTTATTCAACAATATTTCACTAATATTTTATGATGGTTATTTTCCTACCACCTGACTTTTAATAGTTGTATAATATTAGATCCTGCATATATTCCCTGACTTATTTAACCAATTCCATTACTTGGTCATATTGGCCATCTCTAGATTTTCGCTGTTGCAAATAGTGTGGTAATACATCTTTGTTGCAAAAGATTTATGCACATCTCTGTGTACTTCCTTTGGATATATTCCTGGAAACATAAGTTCTAGGTCAATGGGTGTGCACAGTAAACTTTGGATTTCATAGATACTGCCAAATTGGCTTCCAGAAAATTCCTACCAATTTACATTCCCACCAGGAGCATTTGAGCAATTATCCAGGGCCATCTATATTTTGAGATGTTATTTGACTTCATTGTTAGGGGAGTGGGCTTTAGAATTTGATTGATTTGTAGTCAAACTTCCTGACCTGATCTTTTTAAGCTTCCAAAATGTCTGAGACCTTGTCTGCTGTCCCCACACCTCTCAGGGTTGTTGTAAGAATTGAACGAAACAAGCTTGTATAGTGATTATCTTGTTTCCAGGCATAGTTAAACTCAGTAAATGATCTTTTTAATTATCTTTCTGCCAACAGCAAATAGAAATCTGTTCTCTTTTCTATTGTTCCTGCCTGGGTTTGGAGCTAGAAGGCATGAGGTTAGAGAGTTAGGGACGTGAACATATTCTTAACAAAGAAAGATGAAGTCGATCTAGTTCATAATATTGAGCCCCATAATATTAAAGTCTAGTTTGCATTTAGTGACAATTGTGGAATTACCAGTGAAGTTAAACTCACAGCATGTGGGACACTTTAACTCTAATCAATCAACTCTTGCTGCCTGGGACTCCAGCAATGACAAGAAGATGGGGCAATAAATAAACACTGCAAGGTGAGGCACAGAAGACTCCTTAAGAGACCAACCAGGACTGGGAACTGCCTCCCACCATCACCAAGCGTTTGAGCCAAGACATTCTGTCAGGGATGTTTGCAAGGGGCAGGTCATTCAGTTTAAGGTTCCTGGTTGGATTCTAAATCTATAGCTAATAAGATATTTCTGTCTCTAGCACCACAAGACATTATATTTACTTAAAATGTCAGCATCTTACAAGCGAAACACACTGCTGAAGATCACAAATAATTACTAAGGCCATTTTAAATTACATGTGAAAAAGCTCGTTTTGTTTTATTTTGTTTTTTAAAATTAACTCACTACCCAAAAGCAAAATGGTTTGTTTGTTTTGTTTTGTTTTTTATGCATTATCAAAAAGAATTTACGATGAATATTTTTCTGGGAACTTACAATATCTGGTTATATCATTCCAGTATTTTTAAAAATGACTTCAAATGCTTCCATAGACATTTGCCTTTTGACTGGTTATTCCTGGCAACAGTGCTAGTGAGAAAGGCAACCATCTGGCACTCTTATAGATGGGAAATCCAGTTCCATAGGGTACCAGCCTGCTCAGGGTCAGGACCCACATTAGCATTTATAGCCAAGGGCATTGATTAGCTATTTGTCACTCCCTGTGTTCATCTGCCTCCCCAAAGAGGAAGAACAAAAAAAGGAACTCCTACTGCTCTCAGGATGACTGGTATCTGGTTTCCTGATGCCACTATTGCCTGGAAACAGATCATATGCATCACAGTAACATGTTTGTGTAATTAGCCGTAATACTGTGCATTTAAAGAGCCTAGTTTTTCTGAAGACCTAAAATAACTTCATAACTATCTTATTCTTTTTTTAAAAAATTCTTCTATTTTTAGGGAGGGAGGGGAGATACCATGATCACGAAGGTGGTTTTCCCAGGGCGAGGCTTATCCATTGCACTC